TGAAGAAGGAAGATTCACTCAGGTACCAGGGAGAAGGTACTAGGGGAGTGTTTGGGGAAGTGGCCAAGGAAAAAGGCAGCTACCAAGAGTCTCTGGATGGGAACTCTCCCCATACCATTAAAAAGTTTGCTCCTGAAAAGGGAAGCAAAATTACGGAGGGGTTTCAACCCTATCCTTTAACTTTGCCAATGATGAGAATGGCTCAATAAGCTTTGACCCTGGTCTCTAGAAAAGATAAGAGGAAGTGTGGAGGGTCACAGTGAGCCTCTGAGGCATACAATAACCATCTAGAAACACAGGACCATAAGGACACAGCCAAAGCTTTGTCATAAGCAGGGCTTGACAATTAATGTAATCTACTCGCCTGTGGCGAGTAGATTACAAGCTGGCACAGCCACGCAGCACGGTCTGTGCATGCGCAGCGTGCCGAACCGCGCGGCTGGCGAACAGGGCTCGTCGCGGTTTGGTGAGCCCTGGTCATAAGAGTGATCTGAAGTACTTGGTAAACTGGACTATTCTAAACAATATACATTTTAATTTAGCTAGAAGCAAGGTCATATACCTAGGAACAAAAACAAAACAAAAAAAAGAGTAAAAGTATGTCACACTTACAGGATTGGTTGGGGGGTACTGTATTCTGAAAACAATTTAGGGGTCATGGTGGATAGCCAGCTGAACATGAGTTTCAGTACATTGGCAAAGATGGATAATTACTTGACATATAAGCAGGGAATATCAGGTAATTGTAGGGAGAGGGTATTATCTTTGCATATAGCACTGATGAGAAAAGGCCTGAAATACTTCTGTCTAGTCCTGTTGTCTACACGTAAACAAATGTTTTTAAATGAAAAAGTGTTAAAAGAAGAACGTTAAGAACGATTTAAAGTCTAGAAAACATGTCTTATCAACGAGAAAATTCAGAAGGTAATTTTATCACAGTCCGTAAGTAAATGTTCAGAAGATTTGTGGCAGTAGAAGAGTCTCTAGCACATGGCATAATGAGATCCAATGGCTGGAAAATAAAGCAAGATAAATCCAGACTAAGAATACAGTACACAATTTAACATGGAGGGCCATTAAGCATTGGGATAACACTGGGATATCCATCAGGTAATATTTAATATCAAGACTGGATATTTTTGTAAAAGATATGGTACAGTTTAAGCAGAAGGCACAGACATCATGCAAAAATTACTATGTGAAATTATATTCCTCATATAAATACATTAAAAGCAAGAGGAAGACCAAGGACAGGATAGGCCCACTGCTCAGTGAGGAGGGAGAAGCAGTAACAGGAAACTTGGAAATGGCAGAGATGCTCAATGACTTCTTTGTTTCGGTCTTCACCGAGAAGTCTGGAGGTGTGCCTAACGTAGTGAATACAAGCAGAGAGAGGGTAAGTTTAGAAGATAGGATACACAAAGAACAAGTTAAAAATCACGTAGGAAAGTTAGATGTCAGCAAGTCACCAGGTCCTGATGAAATGCATCCCAGGATACTCAAGGAGCTGATAGAGGAGGTACCTGAGCCTTTAGCTATGATCTTTGAAAAATCATGGAAGACAGGGGAGATTCCAGAAGACTGGAAAAGGGCAAATATTGTGCCCATCTATAAAAAGGGGAATAAGAACAACCCAGGAAACTACAGACCGGTCAGTTTAACATCTGTCCCAGGGAAGATAATGGAGCAGGTAATTAAGGAAATCATATGCAAACACTTGGAAGGTAATAAAGTGATAGGGAATAGCCAGCATGGGTTTGTGAAGAACAAGTCATGCCAAACTAATCTGATAGCTTTCTTTGATAAGATAACGAGCCTTGTGGATAAGGGAGAAGCGGTGGATGTCATATACCTAGACTTTAGTAAGGCATTTGATACGGTCTCGCATGATATTCTTATTGATAAACTAGGCAAATATAACTTAGATAGGGCCACGATAAGGTGGGTGCATAATTGGCTGGATAACCGTAGTCAGAGAGTTGTTGTTAACGGTGCTAAATCCTGCTGGAAAGGGATAACAAGTGGAGTTCCTCAAGGGTCTGTTTTGGGACCCGTACTGTTCAATATCTTCATCAATGATGTAGATATTGGGATAGAGAGTACGCTTATTAAGTTTGCAGATGATACCAAACTGGGTGGGGTTGCAACTTCTTTGGAGGATAGGGACATAATTCAAAATGACCTTAGCAAGTTAGAGAAATGGTCAGAGGTAAACAGGATGAGGTTTAATAAAGAGAAATGCAAAGTGCTCCACTTAGGAAGGAACAATCAGTTCCATACATACAAGATGGGAAGCGACTGTCTAGGAAGGAGCATGGCAGAAAGGGATCTAGGGGTCATAGTGGACCACAAGTTGAATATGAGTCAACAGTGTGATGCTGTTGCAAAAAAAGCAAATATGATTCTAGGTTGTATCAACAGGTGTGTTGTAAGCAAAACTCGTGAAGTCATTCTGCCGCTCTACTCTGCACTAGTTAGGCCTCAGCTGGAGTACTGTGTCCAGTTCTGGGCGCCACATTTCAAGAAAGATGTGGAGAAATTGGAAAGGGTACAGAGAAGAGCAACAAGAATGATTAAAGGTTTAGAGAACATGACCTATGAAGCCAGGCTTCATGAACTGGGCTTGTTTAGTTTGGAAAAAAGAAGATTAAGGGGGGACATGATAGCGGTTTTCAAATATCTAAAAGGGTGTCACAAGGAGGAAGGAGAAAATTTGTTCCTCTTGGTTTCTGAGGACAGGACAAGGAGTAATGGGCTTAAAGTGCAGCAGGGGAGGTTTAGATTGGACATTAGGAAAAAATTCCTAACTGTCAGGGTGGTCAAATATTGGAATAAATTGCCAAGGGAGGTGGTGGAATCTCCCTCTCTGGAGATATTTAAGAACAGGTTAGATAGACATCTGTCAGGGATGGTGTAGACAGAGCTTGATCCTGCCTTGAGGGCGGGGGGCTGGACTCGATGACCTCTTGAGGTCCCTTCCAGTCCTATTATTCTATGATTCTATGAAAAGCATGAGTGGCGTGGAGAGGGTGCATAAAGAAAAGTTCTTCGGGAATCTCCCTCTCTGGAGATATTTAAAAACAGGTTGGATAGACATCTGTCAGGGATGGTGTAGACGGAGCTTGGTCCTGCCTTGAGGGCGGGGGGCTGGACTCGATGACCTCTTGAGGTCCCTTCCAGTCCTGATTCTATGATATGCAAGTGATTACAGTAGATAACCATAACAGTCCTTTATGATTATAAATCTACGAATCTGATAAAAAGAACTGGGTTTGATTTCTAGTGACCTGCCTGGGGAAAGGTGCTATTGGTTCAGAAGGGTCTACCCTGAATCCATAAAAGACCAAATACACTTCATTTCAGTTATCACATAAATACTGATTTCTGTGCTAATTGAGAGCCCACATTATAGAGTTTCATCAAAATGATTTTTAGAAGATTTGAAATGTTATACAGAGAAATATCTTTATAAATATAAATAAAAATCCATATTATTCTGGAAGGGCTACTATTACTCTAATAAAAACAGCATGTAGCCATCTGAAACTGTAAAATGTTGGTTACAGGAGGAAATACTGCAGAGTTGAGCATGAGGAGATACTGACAAGAAAAGCTTCACAGGTATTTGACTGCTACTGATTTTTTTTTTTTAAGTTAGACTATTCACTGTGAAGGATTCTTCAGGCACATTACTATTTTTCCAGCTAATCAATTCCTTGACAGGCTTTTCAAGTCAAGTGAAATGTATGGAATTCAGGTGTGACTAAAGGCTCGTGGTAGATACAGATGGCTAATCATGAATCTCAGTTAATGGCATTTTGCTGAATTCAAGGCATTGCTTTAAGCAAGAGAAAAATCTCTTATGCAAAGCCTGATTAGCCTTTATTCATTTGAGAAAGAGATCACACTTTAAAATGCCCTAAACATGTAAGGCATATCTAAAAAGAACAGTTTTCTATATTTTATATTTAAATAAAACTTTTCAGGCATATGCAAATTTCCATAGCTGGAATCTGAAGAAACAATCAAGGAGAAGCTCATTTAGTTATGTAAAAGCCAGATTATTATTATTATTATTTATTTATTAATCCTTCCACTTTTTAGAGCACTCCCAATGCTGCTCAACCAAAAGGGTAAATTATATAAAATACTCACCTCAAAAGAAATAGTTTCACAAATTACTTTTCCAACTAGTCACTAATGAGGATTTACTACAATACAACTAGAAGACTTACTAGGTGTTGCACAGGTCCTTCAAAGCAGGTATGTGTGTAGGGCAGTGCAGGATGCTGGGGATGGGGGTGCGACAGTCAGGAGGGGCTCAGAGCAGAGGATTCCATTCTGTATGGACCTTTTCTCTCCCTCCTATTTCCCTCCTCCAGAGCTGCAGCCAAGGAGCAGGAGAGGGGGAAAGGGTTTGAGGCAGGGGGCTACTTACCTGGTATGCTGGCAGACAAGGTGGTGGAGCCTCATCCCTCCTGACCACTGCCTTGGTGGTACGGCTGGCCCGTGGACACTCAGCAGTATAGCTCTCCCCTGCGGGCTCACTGCCTCCAGTGGTCCCTCTCAGTATCGTGGTCCTCTAAACAGCCCAACCGCTCCCTTTCCATGTTATGGGAAACAAACCCTTTACTGGCACTTCTGGTTGTTCTGACACAATCAAACCCTGACCTTGCTTTACGTTAGGAGACAAGGAAGCAGCATACCAAATTTGGCTGTCCTGGTGCTTACTGTTTAGGAGGAGTTCTTGAACAGACTCACAGAGAGACACGCAGACAGACACACAAGTCTCTAAAATATATATACAGAGTTTGTTACTGCACAAGATTTTTTACAAAATTGTTTAGACTATTACTACAACACCACAACTGAACAGATTAGTAAATTCATGACAGTTTTTGTTTCAAATGAGTTTTATCATCTACATTTTATATAGTTTAATGTTTGGAAACAACTGAAGACATGGCACCAGAAAAAAATATTGACTATCACAGACGTACCTCTGATAGCATTTCATATTGACCTCTTCTCCCTAAGGCAATTGTAAGCAAATCATAGACTACAGATGCACTCTGCAAACTGATGATGCGATCATTTTTGTGCTCTGGTATTCTGCTCAGTACAGCATCACGATTAGCCTGTAAAACAAGAAGAAACTTAAGAGGTCACTCTAATGGGATTAATATCTTGATTCTGGTCATTATTATTAATGTTTCAATGTAACAACCATCACTGGAAGTAGGTGACCAACAAGATAGCAACTGCTGCTCATTTTGCATTTGATTACTTGCATTTGAACAAAAGATTGTTTGATATATCTTCTCATACTACTTTTTGGGAGGGATTTAACCCTTATCTAATATTTCTGTAACTGATCCACTTTCATGTTTTCTGTTTAAAACTGAGGCTATTAATTTTGTTAAAAATTATCTAAGCTGAAGCTGTGCTTTGAGTTTGACTGCTGTAATTAGTTCTTTTTTGTCTTGCATCAAAATAAGGTACAACTTTGCTGAGTGACAGACTGTTGGGGTCTTCCTCCATCCCTCCTTTCAAAGCAAATTTTCATTTCACTTACTTCATCTTCTTTAATATCAGAGTGGCAGCCGTGTTTAAGGTGCCAAAGGACTCCTCATCGCTTTTGCAGTTTCAAACTAACAGATTTATTGGAGCATAAGCTTTCATCAGATGAAGTGTGGTCTTTGTCCACGATAGCTTATGCTCCAATAAATCTGTTAGTCCATAAGGTGCCACAGGACTCTTCATCTTCTGAAGATGATTATGACAGTATCTGCTTTCTGGAATGAAGAGTCTTTTCCAAAGATAACCCCACACCAAAACAGGTCAATGTATAGTCCATAAGATGGGCCTAATACAGTGGAGAATAAATTGCAGTCCATGGGCCAAATGCAGTCCATCGGGGATCTATGTGTGCCCCACATGTTTTGTTTACCACTGCCTATCTGCAGGTTTGGCAGATTCCGCTGGTTTCTGTCTGTGTAGTTTTTTTCCCTACTGGTATAACTAAAGTGACACACATGTAACAACAAAAGGGCATGTGAAATGAGGTGCATGCTGATTGCACACAACACTGACCATGAGAGCTATACAGTGCTCCTGCATCCAATCAAAGCTACGATTCAATCGACACACTCCACAATTCTAGGTTCCGTCCTCTACCCTTCCTCCTGGTCCTGTGTGGTGGTTTTTTTCCCCTTTTTTCCTCCACAAAAAAATCCTTGGTGTTCCCCATAAAAAAAAAATTATTGCTTGGTGTTTCTCAGTCTTAAAAAGTTTAAGAAACACTGGTCTAGGACTTTAAAAGTTTCATCTAATAAGCAACCCCCGGAAAATATTAGGGTGTGCTAAGCCAAGCTCCCACTCTGTCTTCTTCCCCTGCTGGAGGCCTCACTGACCAACTTCTCCTCAGAACTTCCAGTGTGCTGTGAACAACTGATTTCTGGCATTCAGGATGCTCCTGGAAGGTGAGTTAGGAGCAGTGACAGGATGCAGCTGGGTGAGAAGGCAGGACAGGAAGAGGAATGGTGGGGGCTTAGAGGAAGAGAGTGGAATCGGGGGTGGGGATAGGACAGAGGCAAGGTTTGGGGGAAGAGGTAGAATGAGGGTGGGGCAGAACAGGGGTGGAAAGACCAGGGAAGGGGTGGAGTTTTGGAGAAAGGGATGGAGTGAGGGCAGGGCTTGGACCATAGTGCGGAAGTCAACACGTATGCTCAATCACATACTGTCATAATAAAACCACCAGTCTAAATATGCCTTGTCTTGATGTCCTCTAATTCTACATGCTTCTGAGTTCAAATGTCACTATTGTTAACACTATAGACTTGAATTTTTATGGGTTACTATAGTGTGAAACCAATTAAAGCCTCTGAAATGAGAGGCTATCATTTTATTTTATTTTAAGTTTTGTTTAAATGTTAATGAGTCAGAGGACTCTCTAGGGAACTGAAGAACAAATTGACAACTCCATGTCTTCACCTATTCATCTAATCTAGCTAGAAAATGAACATTTTAAACAACCTTTTCTCATTACTATTTAAATTTCATTTCTATATAGCAGTGTTTCCCAATTTTATTTGGTCATGGAACCCTTTTAAATTCAAAAGAATTTTGTGGAACCCCTAATAACAATCTTATATATGGTCAACTGGTCTGACAGCTGAAGCTTCGACTTTGTCCGATACGGTGCTAGTATATTCATATTCAGTCACCCACGTGATTCACGCTCCCTGAAAGTGAGTACAGGGATTTATGGTGGTATATAACAGGCAATCGTATTACTGATTGACTGCGCACACAGTGCTGAATAGTGACATCATTGTCCCCTCTCTCTGGCTAAGCTGGCATTACATAGGGACATTTATCGCAGCAAAGACAAATGAAAATTGTTTTCAATAAAATTTATAAATGTTCCAAGTAGGAAGAATGATAGTAGCAATACCAATCATTATGAGCAATCACATTAATGATAAGTATTTTTCAGCTATATATAATACTTAACCATTTTTAACATACATTGCAATATATGAAAGCACTTGGATGCTTCTGAAAATTGTACCTTTTGTTCAATATAAAGTAGGGATAAAGTTTCAGATTCATACACAGAGGGAAAAGATTACTCCTGGGAGAAATTTACACCAAAAATTAAAAATTTTGCACACAATATTGAAGTATTGCAAAATTCTACCTGTCTAAATAATATAAATATAGTCACACCAATTTCAATTATTTTGCTAATTTATTTAAAATAACCTGTCAAAAAGTATATCCATAACAAAAAAGATCCAGGAAATGTTTTTGACAAATAGACTATTTACTACATATATTAATACATAACTCTAAGTAATAATTCATTTAAACTACAGAACAGCACTTGACTTCTTGCACCTCTCAGAAGCAGTGCAAAGACTTGAGTTTTGTCAGGGGGTAATGGAGGAGGTGAGGGAGAGGGAAGTAACTGCTGGGAAGGAATCTGGGTATGAATTTCAAGGGTTGCTGGGTATGGGTGAGAAGACTATGGAACAGATTTTGGGGAGAGTAGGAAGGGATTGTTAGGGACCATCCCATGCAGACCTTTGCTGATTTCTAGCCTCTCCTATTCAGTCAGGCACTTCTGCTAACGTCTACATGTGTCCTTGCACCTGCTGTTCACCTGTGCTCTTCACTAGGGATGTCAGCTGTCATGTATGATTAGCAGCTCTTTAAAATGAAGCCATAGCAAAAGAACAGACAGTTATGTTTAAGGGGAAGTAGCCTAACCACGGACTACCTGGATTGACTTTTTTGCCGTTAAGGAGTGTATTATGAAATGTGTTATGAAATATGATAATTTAGGATAAGCAGTAAAATTTGTAAGAGTAAAGATCTTCATCTAATTCGCTAGCCCTTGAGTAACACACCAAATTCGTCCAAGAGAAAAAATTTTTTTGCATCTACTTACAAGATTCTCAGCTAATTCACTAGCCCTTAAGAGAAAAAAAATTTCATCTCAAATTAACCAAAGAACTGAATAGACAATGAGAGATCAGGCCATAAATACCCTGCAGTAACGACAGCGGGTACCTCAACATCTACAACTCATTCTGGAAACTGAACTCACATGCTGCTCTCTGAAGACAAGAGGCAGGAGGTCCATACCGAGGCAGGCATCGTAACAGCATTCGTCGTCCTCTACCTGGCCAGTAGAGAGATGCTGCTACACCTGATCAGGTGAGTCAAAAAATCTGACAAAAAGTAAAAAAAAATCTAACAAAGTCTAAAAAAAAAAATCAAGAAAAACAAAATAATCTTGATAAGCTATAAGATCAGGGATCCTCGTAGTTGCAGTTCTTTTAAAAATTAATCTATAAGAAACTAAACTAGATAACGAATTAGCTGATGTCACTAAGTATCCTTGTAATCACGCTAGCAGAAACAATATACTTTTTATATTTTTCCTTTTATTATTTTATTTTTAATTCTCAGCTGTTCTGTTTTGACTTTATTATTCATTAAGTGGCAACATCAATAAAGTTATGTTCATTGATTAAGACACAAATTGGTATTTACTGTAAATTTATTGACGACTTCCCAGGTAAGCAAGGGGGCAGACTAGAGTTCTGCACAGTCCCAGCGAACCCAAGGGAAGGGGGCGGTTTGCTTAATCGCAACCACTCACGGCATCAGCGTGTAGTCAATCACACGATTAGCTAATAACCTTGGGTTTATCAGTTAAACCTACTGACTACATGCAATAACTAACTCCCCACCGTTGCCTCTATATCACAGGCAGCGGGGAGGAGAAGGAGCTGGTGCCCACAGAGCTGCCTGTCCCCGCCCTCCCCGCGTACCAAGGATTCCCTGCCCCGTTCCCACTGGCACTCTGCTACCACTGGCATCCTGACCCCTACCCCCCGTCAGCTTCCTGTCCCCACCCCATCACCCTGACCCTTGCCTCCACTGACACCCTGTCCTCAGACCCAGCACCCACTAGCACCCTTCCCCACTAGTCCCCTGCTCCCACCAGCACAGTTGGGGCCACATCAGTGAGGCTTTGGAGGAGGTTTTTTTTTTTTTTTGCATCTCACTTGTGTGGCCCCAACTGACTTTTCAGTGACCCCTGAATCAAAACAGGTTCTCATAAATAAAAACAATGCTGAAACTTTTTGTGTTTGACATATTTTATTTAAAAATAAAGCCTGGTCAACAAACCCCCATTGGTCCGCAGCATCATAACACTCCTGCACTCCCCCCTAGATTTGAGCCTATCATACATTGGAACCCCCTGTCCTGAGCCTCTCACACTGCCAAACTCCTGCACCCCCACATCCTCAGTCTTTTGCCCCAACACTCCTACACCATCATCCACACACCACAAATCTGTGTCCTGAGCCCATTATACTCCTAACCTCCCTGCCCTGAGCCCCTTCCATCCCCCATCTTAAACTCTTGCACCCTCACATCCACAAGCCTGTGGCTTACTCAGTACCCCAACCCTCCACCTGACCCCAACACTCCCCAGCCAGGAGCCCCCTCCCTGAGCCAGCATCCTCTCCTCCACCTCCTCCTGCATCCAAATTTTCTCCCAGAGCTTGCACCTCTCACCCCTTCCCACACCCAAACCCCTCATTCCCACCCCAGAGCCCACACATCATGTCTCAATCCAGTGAGGGTACAGCTAGACTGCAGGAGTTTTTCCGGGATTTCAGAGGTATCCCAGAAAAACTCTTCTGCATCCAGGGATGCGTTTGTTCTTCCACTTTTTTTAGTGGAAAAGCAAACATGCTCTTTTGGTAACCCCTATATTCCTCTTTCCATGAGGAATTAGGGGGCTTCCAAAAGAAGGGGTTTTTCTGACATTTGGTCCAGTCTAGACAGGCCAAATGTTGGAAAAACCTCTTCCTATAGAATAATTGGGAAAAAAAGCAGCAGTATAAGGGTTGAGGATAGCAAGTGACGGAGAGGAGGAGAATAGAGAGGGCGGGGCTTCAAGGAAGGGGCGGGGTGGTAGATCTTGGCTTGTTCTGTCATTTTAAAAAGTGATCTTGGGGGGTAAAAAAGTTAGTGACCACTGTTCTAGAATCACCACACCCTCTGGTGGGCAAAATGTGAAGCTACAGAAATTATTTTCTGTTGGGACTGCTGCTCTGTTCTAGTGCCATAGTGCCCTCTGATGGGCTGAAGAAACACCTGAGCAACTTTACAGCAGAAGTTAGTTTCTGAAAAAAGACATATGAAATGTGTGTGCGCACAATGGCACAGATTTCCCCAAGGAGTAAAAGGTTGTGTATTGACAGTCTTGACAGCCTGGGACACGGCTGAGCTTGCATTGGTAAGATACCAGTGGGCAGATCAATGATCAGTAAGCAGTAGTATGGTACCCTTTTAACAGGTGTTAGCAAAGGCACATAAAGGAAAGAACCACAGGGGAAAATGAAGGCATTCATAAACACAACATTAGCAACATCCTATGATGCCTTATACAGATAGTATGCCAATATCAAGAATTATTCGAAATTTGATATCTGCATTTTAAAGCACATCAGAAAAGAATTCTTGGTCTTACATATATTTACTCAGTATGTATATAAAATTTTTGGTTTCAGTAGTTACAATAACAAAAATTACTTGAATTTTCAAGCCTACTTGGCTGAATAATAGCTGTTCACACTCAAGTGATGCCAAGTGAAAGACCTAGCCTTGGCAACAGACTCTACCTCCCTTCCTTGTAACTAAAGGAAAGTTAGGTTTTGCCTATAGACAATGTAGTCAAGTCTCAAAAGGAAAGAGGATCTCAGAATCATAAAATCCTTACAGCACTTTCTTCTGGATCTCTATCAGAGTAGCAATAGCTTTAGTTGCAGAGGGAACTCCTCGCCTAGTTTCCTATCAGGAAAGGAGTCATACTTAAAGTACCCAAAAGACATAAATGACAGAAGCGACAATTTTTTTTTAAAACAGCTGTTTAACTTACCATGGATTCACTAATCAACAACAACAATAGGGCTTCTTCTGTATTTTCTTGAGGACAAAAAATGCTGTCAAAAACAAAAACTTTAATGTTTACTAAAATACAAGTACAGCATATTGATCTAACATCAAATGTTCATATGCTGTGATAATTAGTATATTTTTTTAATATCTAGAAAAATACATATAGTTTTGATGATTAGTTTTATTTAAATACTTTGATTTGCATTTAAAAAAACTGGAAAACCAGAACGAACAGAAGGCACTACCCTAATCAGAGTTGAAAACAAACAGTCCAAATATCCTAAATACCATGTAATTTTGACAGCTATAAAAATGACAGAATTCACAACTAAACAAACCTCCTACTCTCCTTGTAAGTGTGCCTCAATTGCAACCATAGCAACAAAAGGATGTTAAAACAGACTTTCCTTCATCTTACAAGAACAGGATATTTGATTAAATCTTAACAATATTTGGACCCCATTTGCATTATCTCTGTATTAGATATATATATCTCCCTGATGCTGTGCTTTAGAGCCTCACTATTAAAGCAAAAAATCCCAATATAAAAACCCAACACCACTACAGTTTCTGTTCTTTCTGTATGCTATCACCTTCATCACTTCCTTAGCACTTAAAACATTTATTTCCAATTATTTAATTCTGACCATCCTTGCCAGCCTATGCAACAGATTGCAAAAAGCAGCCATCCAAATATATTCCACAAAGCCAGAACTCCCCTCTGGTGTAGGTGTGGTGAGTGAGAGGTAAGAGAAGTAAAATCTGTATCAGGTACAAATACTGTTCCCCTCTCCCATCAATCAGAAACCAGACATCAAATTGTGACCAGTTCACAATTTGGCCTCTGGTCTGATGCTAGGGTAGCACACTCTAATTCTGGTCTCTACTCAAGGCTTGTGGTTACTCTACAATCAAACTCTTATTAATGAGCTAAATTTCTCTCCCTGCTAATAGAGATTGCCTCACAGATATTAAGGAAATGGCTTAAACTACACTGAATTACTGACCGTAAGACTTAGACATCTTTTATTTCTTAAAGTATATTTGGAGGTTTTCAAGTAGTTAAACAGAAGTGTGAGTGACAGTGTAAGACAAGATGCCTCAAATCTAACAGAAAATTTACCATAAAATTATTTTAGACAAATAGCAGGTCTGATCTTAAGAGTAGTGTTCCTCTTCCCCCACCCTTTCAAAAACAAACAAACACACACACACACACCACAGATGAGATATTATCAATACAAATCACTATCCAGATCTCTTTTTAGATATGAAAGTTGGGGAACAAAATCATTTCCAAGACAAAGAATTTTTATGTAATAAAGAAGTTTCAACATATATTTAAGACTGCTGGCATTGCCAAAAGCTGCCAGAAATGGAAAAACACACCTGTTAAGAAACTTGGCTTCTTTATCCCTTTAAGGAAACACTTCAAAAAGATGATATACAAACCTATAAATATTTCAGTATTTCTCTAAAAAGCTGTCAGAAGAATTAAATGGACTCTACTGAAAGAAGTCCATAGTGGTAAATGAAACAACTAGACATTAAAAACGTGAGTTAGCAGGTTCTTAGTGTCTGAAGGCAAATATTTTAAGTTATACTCAGTGTTAATGCATCTACTGATTCCCTCTCCAGTTTAAATAAATGGTGGTTACTTACTTGTAAACTGGAGATTCTGTGAGATGTGTGAACCCAACCTGTATTACACATGTGGGTACAAGGGCACAGACAGTATAGATATTTGCAGTATTCCATTCCAAAAGCTGAGTCTACAGAAGAGCAGAAGAGGTCGGGACTAAAGTATAATGCTTTGTGAAAGTGTTACAAATGTCCAGTACAGGCACTTCTTGGAGAAATACTACTGTGCCCTATAGAACAAAGAAAAGGTAGAGAAAGGGGCCAACCAATAGCAAAGAAGGATACATGCAGAAATCTACTTAGATGGTCTCTGAGCAGATACTGCTTGTCACCATGCTCATTCTCCTACAATAACAAATAGTGCCGGTACTTTTTTAGATGGATTTGTTCTTCACAGATAGAACCCAGTAGATGGCCAACACTTGAAAGGATGGTATGGTAAGTACTCAAAGTATAAGACTGAGTTACCATTGAGATGCTGACTTCACTACTGGTGATTCTAGTGAGATCCTTTAGGAGTCTGATTATCAGGTAAGTAAAAGTAGAACAGTCATCTATCTACCAATGGGTGGAAAGGACTTTTGCTGTGAGGTAGACCTCAGGGAGCTAACAGGCCTACCTTTCTGTCTTGAAAGTGAGGAGACAGTCTAAAATAATGAGAATACCTGCAGTCTCTGGGGAAAACTGGTTTTGTTGCATGAAGGCAGAGAAAGGACTCTCTTCAGCTAAATGGAATTTCTGGGTGAGTTTTCACTATGGTGGAGGCCTGATTGGCCTGCAAACATGAATGTTCTAGGTCTGAGACTCATCCAAATACCAAGATGAGAGATGAAGAGAGTCTGGGTTAAAATGTCTGATCCCACCATTCTCCTGCATTATCAGAGCTGCAAGGTGTTGGATGTTGATATGATAATAAATTAACAATCATAGGAGATTCAGAAATCAGAACAGTCTGGGACCAACTTGGTGCAACAAGAATGACTTGTGCTTTACTGTGATAAATTTTCCAGACAAAATAGGCTAGTAGGGGAAAGGGAGGAAAGTTGTGCTTCAGATGGTCTGTCCAGGATAGTAAAAGATCATCACCCTCATAGTCCGGACATTAAGTGCTCTGGAAGAGTATATAGAATCATAGAAATGTAGGGTAAAAAAGGGACTTTGAGAAGTCACCAAGTCCAGCCCTTTGTGCTGCACAACCACCTACTAAGCCTAGACTATTCTTAAGAGCTAAGTTCCCTGTAAGCTGCATGGCTGTGCAGATGTTTAATGAGACCTGCCTAGAGATCCCTTGCAGGCAGGGATCTCAGATGACCAGCTTGGGGAGGGGCTGACTGAGAAGCTTCAAACAGAGCTGCCAGCTTCCAATGGAGGAGCTCAGAGAGCAGGTAGGGAAGGGAGATAAGGAGAGACTGGCAAAAAAGGTTGACTTTTAGAAACCCCAGGACAGGAGAATATATCTGAGTATCAGAGTATCCAGCTCCCACTTATAATCTTGGGGGAAAAGTACCTGCTAAATAATCAGTTATGGTATTCTTAGTACCTGTTAGAAAAAATTCCTAACTGTCAGGGTGGTCAAATATTGGAATAAATTGCCAAGGGAGGTGGTGGAATCTCCCTCTCTGGAGATATTTAAGAACAGGTTAGACAGACATCTGTCAGGGATGGTGTAGACGGAGCTTGATCCTGCCTTGAGGGCGGGGGGCTGGACTCGATGACCTCTCGAGGTCCTTTCCAGTCCTATTATTCTATGATTCTATAATGCAACAAGCTTAAGACAAGGATGTGTTTGGCTTAAGATGAGCCAGTTCCATAGCTTTAGTGCTTTGGCATAAGAGGAGGAAGGAAAGTGAAGGAATCTTACCAACTCTTCTCCCTTGAAGATTTATGTAGAACATACAGACTACATTGTCTGTCATGACTAAGTAAAATAAATGTCAAGCGATTAAAAATATTAATCATGATTAATCGTGCAATTAAAAAATTAATCATCACTGATTGCACTGTTAACAGAATACCATTTATTTAAATATATTGGATGTTTTCTACATTTTCAAATATATTGATTTAATAGCACAAATTGCACAATACTCACTTTATTTTATTACAAATATTTGTACTGTAAAAAAAAAAGAAATGTATTTTAATTCCCCCATTACAAGTACTTTAGAGCAAACTCATTAACTAATCATCACTGATTGCACTGTTAACAGAATACCATTTATTTAAATATATTGGATGTTTTCTACATTTTCAAATATATTGATTTAATAGCACAAATTGCACAATACTCACTTTATTTTATTACAAATATTTGTACTGTAAAAAAAAAAGAAATGTATTTTAATTCCCCCATTACAAGTACTTTAGAGCAAACTCATTAACATGAAACTTGAACTTATAAATGTAGAATTATATAGAAAAAAGAAATCCTTCATTAAAAAAAAAAAAACAACCTACCCTAAACTTTAGAGCTCACAGGTCCACTCAGTCCTACTTCTTGTTCATTCAAACTAGTTTACATTTGCAGGAAATAATGCTGCCAGCGCCTTGTTTTCAATGTAACATGAAAGTGAAAACAAGTGTTTGCATAGTATTGTTGTAACCAGCATCACAAAAGTTTTGTGCCAGATGCACTAAAAATTCATATGTGCCTTCATGTTTCAACCACCATTCCATTTCAGAGGACATGTGGTCATGCACTAATGGATTCTGCTAAATAACAATCCAAAACAGTCTGGACCAGTGAGTCAGATGCCATCAGCAGCAAAAGGCTGGTTTTCTTCTTTTGGTGATTCTGGTTCTGTAGTTTCCACTAGGGATGTAAAATCCTGTTCAATTAGTTAACTGGTTAAAATGAATAATATGAGCTGTATCAACAAGAGAAACTGCTATAATAGGAAATATATGGCGGAATGCAGGTAAAACAGAGTAATTCTTCCCCAAAGAGTTGTCTCACAAATTTAATTAACACATTTTTTTTATGAGCATCAGCATGGAAACACATCCTCTGGTGAATATTTAGCATATTTGGCATGCAAATATCCTGCAACGCCAGCAACAAAAGTGCCACGTAAACACCTGTTCTCACTGTCAGATGACACTGTAAATAACTGGGCAGTATTATCTCATGCAGATGTAAACAAGCTTGTTTCTCTTACCAATTGGCTGAACAAGAAGTAAGACTGAGTGGATTTGTAGTCTTGAAAGTTTTATGTTATTAAAAACAAAACAATCTATATTTGTAAATTGCACTTTCACAATAAAGAGATCGCACTACAGTACTTTTATGAGGTAAGCTGAAAAAATAAGATTTCCTTTGCTTATTTTTACAGTTCATTATTTGTAATAAAAATAATATTGAGTTAGAACTGTACACTGTATCCTGTGCTATAATTGAAAACGTTTAAAAACATACAAGGATATTTAATTGGTAGTCTATTGTTTAGCAGTGTGATTAAAACTCCAATTAATCTTTTTAGTTAATACTTTGAATTAACAGAAATAGAAAACTCTAATCTTTGACCTCCTTTATTTCCAGGAGGTGGATATGGAGAAGTAAGGTGTGCTCCTCATCCCACAAGAGATGCTTCTAAAGTTCTATAATTATAATAGTGGAAGGAAACTCCTTCACAAAAATTGTATGGGTCCTTCCACTAACTGAGCAAGTCTAGCTCCTGACAAGAATCAGACACCAGTTTATCTTGTGGGTATTCAAAATGTAACTTGTTCTGAGTCATTTTTGGAAGCAATGAAGATGTAACTTGGAATGTGTTAAAAAAGAGCCAACTGCAATATGGCCTAACAGAGACAGTTTCTTGCAGACAGCCAAGGACTTGCATGAATCTTGGAAACAAGATTTATCAGTCCAATAAGTGTTCTGGGAGCTAAGTTCTGGACATGATAGCATGCACAGAAACCTGTATAAAATCTCTCTGATGAACTGGAATCAAAAGGGGTTTTTCACCATTGAGTTGTAGCCCCTACTTGAGGACAGAAACATAGCTATCTTTACTAGAGAGAACCTCATTAAATGATTGGCCTTTAAGGAGACAATCATTGAGATTCAACCTGGGTGAATGACACTTTCAAGAATACTCTTGATAAAGGATAGACCAAAGGAAGCCATCCTGGCCAACCTAAAAAGATGATGTCTTATTGCAGGGGTAGGCAATAATTTTTGACCTGGGGCCACTTCAGAAATGTTTGAAGTGGTCCTGGGCTGCCCCAAAAGGTCGGGGGCTCAAGTGGAAGGGGTGGGGCCAGGACACTTCTGTGTTTCTCCACCCACAGACCCTGATTGGTGTGGAGGTGGGGGAATGTGCAAAGTCTTTGCACCTTCCCCAAGAGAACCGCCAGCTGTTCATAACAGCTGGTGCTTCCTTCTAGGTACCCATGCCCATGGTGGTGGGAGGAGACTTTGCATGCTCTCACCTGTTGCCCCCAGGTAAATCAGGGTCTGCGGAGGGAGAGCACATGAAGTCTCTCACTCCCTGCCCCCACCCTGCAAGGGAGCACCATGCTTAGAGTCAACTGCCAGCTGAGCAGCAGCTGGCAGGCTGACTAAGTGCTGAGGGAGATTTCATGTGCTCCCCTTCTTCCCCAAGCCCAGACTGGCCTGGGGGCAAGGGGAGCACACGAAGTCTCCTTCCACCCTGCCCCCATCTTGCAAGGAGCGTGCGGTGCTTAGAAGCACCGTGCACTCTGGGCAGGGCGGGAGGAGACTTCGCGTGCTTCCCCCTGCCCCCAGAGCCTGATTGGCCTGAAGGAGCAGCAGAGCCAGATCAACTCACTTGGTGGGCTGAATCCACCCTTTTGCCCACCCCTGCCTTACTGTGAACTTCCAGCTCAGTCACTCACCTCCTCTCTATAACCTGGATCTTGACCTTGAGTGCTTGATATCCAGACTCAGCTCAAACTTGACACCACCACTTGCCTCCTGCCTGCAATTGTGTACCTGACTGACTAGTTGTAATTCTAATTTGTCTCATTCCCAATTTCACTCTGTCTCCTGACAACAACTTGGTAACTTACTAGTGCATATATGCTGCCCATGGTTCAGCCCTGACAGATATGCTGGTTAGCTTGATAGTTAGGTGTACTTCCTATAATGTGCTCTGTGGAATTAGGAAAAGGTTCTACTCTTCTGTTTTCTGAGGAAAGGGGATCTACTGCCTCTCTAACCAACAGTATAAGAGAGGACTTTTCCCTTATTATCTTTGAAATCCCCTTTTCCTTTTCAATAATATAAATAAGGTATTTAAATGGATAAAACAAGCATAATTAGAGAACCATATGATGAACTCATTCCATACTTTTCTCCAGTGTACACCCGGGGTCTTCTACTGAGTGCGTAATTTTTAGTATTTGATCCTTTCCGGAGTGGATCATCAAGAGGAGATTGGTGAGGAGGGTCTTCCAATGGATTCCAGTAACTTTGTTCAGACATACCTCGTAACAAAATTTCAGCTAACTGCCTGGCTATTGTCTGAGGGAAAAAACATAAATAAATTTTTTTTTCTCTTAGAAATGATGAACAACATATTGTGAAAAAACTAGGCTTTTATCCAATGACAATTGGTCGCGCTCAATATGATTTTGCTCACATGGTTTCTATTCATCTTAGAGAATTCCAATCTTCTTCTATGTCTTTGTTTCATGCCAAAAAAGTGAACAAACTTGATGACCTCGCCCCCACCTATTTTTCTACTGACCTAAAAAACTCAGAATGTCCTGAACACCAGGAATGAAAGGCACAATGTCCAGTTTGGTTCTGCACAGTGTAACAACAAAAAAGCTTTCAAAACTACAGGCAGTCCCCGGGTTACGTACAAGATAGGGACTGAAGATTTGTTCTTAAGTTGAATTTGTATGTAAGTCGGAACTGGTACATATTGTAGGGGAAACTCTAGCCAAACATTTCTCCAGAGCTCAGTTTTATTCTCCCACACCTCACTTCCCTCAGTCCTTTATTCTCAAGCTGAGGTGTCTGCTGAGAAAAGCCGCTCCGCGTCTCCCTGGTCTGCTGGGGCGGGCGCTAGCTTCGCGTCTCCCTGGTCTGCTGCAGGGAAGCAGCTAGTGCGGGGTTGCCTCACCCCATTTGTAAGTAGGGAACCAATGCAAGTCGGATCCATGTAACCCGGGGACTGCCTGTATTTGATAGAACTTTAATAGGTAAATCCCAGATATCTGAAGAAACATATAAAAATGTTAATATACCTAAAAATCAGTTAAGTTCAGGTGTGTTTTCTGTTATTCTACATACATTCATTAATAACAAGAAAGCTTAACTGGCGCCTGGCTGTGAACATGCAAACCAAGCGCGGGATATTTAGATCCCGGGCTTGATTTGCAATTTCGAATTCCTACATTTGCAGCCCTATTTAGAATTAGGCTGCAAGTGTAGACATACCCTCAGAGCCTTAGCCTGTAAATTATTTGTGATGGCACAATGTCTCCCTATGCATTGAAGCAGTACCTGTACAGTGCAGCTTCTCGTTGCATCTACAAAACAAATAATAGCGGTGACAGATACTGCATGCAATATCTTTGGGGACCACGCTATTAATTTTATGAATGGTTTACATAGGAGTCTGTTATGCTCTGGGGGACTGTTACTATAGCTTCTACAGAAAATAAAATTATTCAGGGGCCAACTACCCCGTGACAGTGAATAACTAAACACCATCTGCTGGAGTGGTTACATTTACGGTTCAGACTGGGTTTTCCAGACACCAAGAGATTAAAATAGAATATGGGATATATAAAAGCTGAGTTTAAACTGACTGGGGGCTTCTTTTTCAGTGAAAAAATAAACAGGACTGTCCAAGGAAGACCTCAACCAGTGTTCCCTCTAATTTTTCCCACCTGAATGAATTTCCATGACCAGAATGAATTGTTTTACATGCACCAATGTGGAAGCAATGTGACTTCATATGGTGCACATAACAAAACATTCATGTGGAGGAAGAAGGGCCAAGGGTTTTTGAGAGTGAAATGGGGCTCAGGGCCAGTACAGAGGGTTGAGGTTCAAGGATTCTGGCTGGGGGTGCAGGATCTGCAGGAAGCTGGAGATGAGGAGTTTGAGTGCAGGAGGGTGCTCAGGGATGGGGGGGGACCTCAAGGTGGAGTTTGGGGGTTGGGCTCAGAATTACCTGGGCAGCTCTCTGTTGGGGATAGCAAAGAAGGGCCCTTTCCCCCTGGTCACAGCAGCTCTGTACTGGAGCCAGTGGGAAGGGGCTCCCCAACACCAGCTGCAGCAGCCCCGTGCTGTGGCCAGCAGGGAGAGGAACCCTTTCTCTCTTTACTGGGGCCAGCAGGGAGGGATTCAGGACTTAACAGGAAGCTGCATGGTCACTCTGCTTAGGGGGAACTTAGACCCCAACCTTTACTGAAGAAAAGTTGGGTTACAAGATTCCCCATGTAAAAGATGAACAATTTCTGGTAGATTGTACGGTATATAAGAACTTGTATTGTTTAACTATTTCCTCTGTGATTCTTTATCCTAAGAATAAATGTAGTCTGCTGAGAAGAAGCAGTGTGCTAACTTGTATATGTTGTACTATGCAGAAGCCTTGGAGAAAAAGCACAGTCCAGGTGCTGTCCTTCAGACAGACTGACTTGCTGGGGATATGATAGTTCAAGAAAGGGAGTGATGCAGCCTTATAACCTATGGTCAGGAGGGAGAGACAGGTTTCCACCCAGAGATAATGGCGAGATCCTAAAAGCCTTAGTGCCCTTGAAAGTCCATGGAGGTGGAATAAAATATAGTTAACCTTGAACTGTGACAGCAGCTCTAGCAAAAAACACTGCCAGCTTTGAAGTAGATGTTTATCTTGATTCCTCCACTAGAAATCCTAAATACTTGTAACAGAACTTCAATAAAAGGAAACTGACAGCATATTATGATCACCAGTCAAGGCATTATTGCCTATATTCTTGCCCAAATAAAATCCCAGTGGGCTTGTAATATTCCATAAAAATATAAGTCAAACTAAAGACGTTTAATCCCCTTATTATTTTTAAAAAAACTCAACAAAATGGCCTTTGTTGAACTTTCTCTGAAAGAGCTTTCATTATGTTATTTATATTTTATTTAAAAATGATGACTAATGTCTTCCCCTTGTAATTCCATTTGAAGAATATACTTGTTTTTAAAAATCCAAATTACATATCCTCATGTGTCTTCCTATATACCAAAAATCTATTACAAATTGTTAAATTCTATTCTTACTGATTTTAATGAATCTCTCAGATAAAATATTAACTTCAAAATCTATCTCCAAACAAGTTCAAGTAAACATTAGTGAAATAGTACACAAGAGATGGGAACATAACATTTTATTTTTTAACTAAAATATTCTCAGTACTGTGCATCTTTAGTGCACAAAGGACTATTTCTCCAGCTTAAACAAAAGAAATAAAGACAGTCTTTCATACAAAACTATCAGTTTAATCGCTTTCTAAATGCTTTATACCAATGTATGTTAGCTACATATGACCTTGAATGACAGGGTTGAAAAATTCTGACTTTTAGTGTCTTAGAAGTGGTAAAAAATTGACTGCTGTAGAAACAACCTCAGAGTCTATAAAAGAGCTATCAACATTTCCTGGCAACAAATGGTTAACAACTGAGCCAAAAGTGTCACTCTATGAGTGACATCTTTCATTTTTTAAAATCCCTGCAAGAAATCTACCTTCCTTTTCTTATTGTTCTATTTATACTCTCATGGAATATTACTAGCCTCATTTAAATGTCTAATATTTCATCACTTGTGAAAAATGCAATTTTGAGGACCTCATTTAAAAAAAATAAGTGATAAACTAATTTCTAATTATCTCAGAGGAGTAGCCAAGTTAGTCTGTAGCAGAAAAAAAAAATTAAAAAAATTAAAAAAACAAATGATCCTGTATCATCTTACAGACTAACAAAAAATGTAGATGGTATCAAGAGCTTTTGTGGGCACAACCCACTTCTTCAGATGAATGGAGCAAGGAGTCCAAAGTTAGAATAAATATAAAGTTACAAATTTAAATAAAGTTTATAATTTTTTTATTTGTAACTCTGGACCCTTTGCTCCATTCATCTGAAGAAATGGGTTGTGCCCACAAAAGCAAAATACCATCTACATTTTTTGTTAGACTCTAAGGGTATGTGTAGACTACATGCCTCTGTCAGCAGAGGCATGTAGATTAGGCTACCCGGCATAGGCAAATAAACATGGCCGCCGTGCTATGCCGACAATCATCTGATGCCTCGTGAAACGAGGTTTACAGGATCGTTCGGCAAAGGCTTCTCCAGCTGACCGATCCACGTCTAGACTACCGCGCTGTACCGGATAACGTGATAGTCGGCACAGCACAGAGGCCATGTTTATTTTAATGAAGCGGGGATTATTTAAATCCCCACTTCTTTGCCTCTGCCGGGTAGCCTAATCTACATGCCTCTGGGTGCTGTAGGGACCATTCATTGATTTTTAAGTTTTTTTTCCTAATAGCATTTTGAAGAGACTATACTAGAACTTTTCTCTTGGACATATGTATAAATGGTTCAGAATAACAAAAGACAACATTGTAATTAATGTTGCATATCTGAAAAAAAATCTGAAAACTTTTGATTTATACCAAACTCTAAAAGAAAAAAAACAAACTCTTGTTTAGGGAATATTTACTTTATATTGATATGGCTATGGAGCTCCTTCATGGTTTTTCTTTTTTGAAGTAGTTTTATGGGAAAAAAGAGACAGATAATTTACAGGACAATGGAACTCAAAGTCAAACAAATAGTGGAGTACCCTAAGGGTGATGAAATAATGCCTTGCAGAACCGAAATACAGTAATGTTCATTAGATATTGATGATAGTTCCAAGCTGAATTGAGTTTACACAGCAACCAGAATAGAGGGACAGGAAGAAAGACAGCTGTTTCTGTTTTTACTACTTATTTTAACTACGAATTTGGCACACAAAGTTGCATAGGTTTTGGTAAGTAATTGAGTATTGTGCTGTAATCGGATTTGTTTGCCTCTGTAATACAATGAAAGTTTTGTTATCTGCCACTTGGGGGGAATGGGAGTTGCCAGTTAACTCAATGGGGCAGATAAAGCAGCCTTTGCCTTCTCCCTGGAAGTGCAGCAAACAGCCCATCTGGCGAACTGCTAAGTTCAAACTTTGTTAAATTTCTAACAGTGCTTGGAGGAGACTATACATCTGGGGACAATGCTGGTTAACACAGTGCTGAATAAAATATTTGTTATTTATACAACATTTAGATATTAAACAGTCAATGTAAGTTTGTGAAACTTACCATTCGTAGATTTTGTGTGGTTCTTGTTTCAACAGCTCTTAGAATCTCTCTAAATCTACCAACTCCTCTTGTCAAGTTCCTGTACACACACATACAAACACACACAGAACTTGCCTTTATTCCAATCTAGTCCTTAGCAGTATTTTATATACAGTTATTTTGTTGCTTTAGTTGTTAGTCAAATCCATACAAGAACATTTTTCCTGATGTAGTATCTCATTCATTATCTAAAAAAATCCTCATCTGGCAGATAGCCACATCACTGTGGGTCACAGGAAAAAAAAAGAGCAAAGCAGTAGGTTGAGAGAGTAAGAAAATTAAGGATATTGTACAAAAGAAGGGACACGGGGGGAAAATTATTTCAATCGTTATTTAAAAACAAAACTGCTATACCAAACAATCTTTTAACACTAATACTTGGGAAAATTCTTTTAATTTCAGTAGCTTCTCTTCCTTTCTTTAACCGACATAAGAGTCAAGTTTTTCCAACTCCTTTTATATACAAAAATATTTCTAGAGAATACAGACATGAGAGAACAAGCTGTATGGTCTGAACAGAAGACTGGGAGGCAAGAGATCAGAGTTCCACTTTTGATTGCCCAATGGCTTCCTGTGTGTCCTTGTACATCTCATCTTCTTCCATTTAATATTTAAAGAATTTTTGACAAGAGGCATGAAAATAAGAGATGAAAAAAGACGGTTACATACCTTTTATAACATATTGCTCATGTCCATTCCAATTTTGGTGTATATTTCCTGCATGCACTGTCATAGGAAGACTTTTCCTTAGTACCGTGGTCACCAACCCATCGATCGTGATCGACTGGTCTATCCTGGGGGCTCAACCAGTCAATCGCGAGGGCTTTTGGGGCCCCCCCTCGCTGCTCCCCACAGCCAAGATGACCGCCGTGCTGATGCTACCTCCAGGGACAACAGAGGTAGTGCAGGCTTCCTGCAGGGGAGGGTGTTCTGCAGCTGCGCGCCAGGTCCTGGAAGTGTGTGGGCTGTTCTTTCCCCCTCCCCAAACAGCCGGCGCGGTACCTAAAACGCCAGTCTGTTTTGGGCTGGGAACTTTCTTCACCTGCTGTCTTCCTGCGCAGGAGGGAGGGCGGAGTGGGAGTCCCAGACCGAGCCAGCTCCAACTGCTCAGGCAACACGCACTGCCATAGGGAGCAGAGGAACAAGGTGCATGCTGCCTGACCAGTTGGAGCTGGCACGGTCCGGGATTCCCAATCCTTCCCACCACGCAGGAAGGCAGCAGGGGAAGAAAGTGTCTGGTGCATGATGGACTGGCATTTCAGGTACTGCGCCGCTGTTTTGGGGTGGGAGAGCAGCCCATGCAGTTCCTGGGCCTTGGCGCAAAGCTGCAGGATCCCCAGGTATCAGTCCCTGTCCCCTTCCCCCCCCCCAACCCCCCCACAAGTATCCTGTCCCCTGCCTCTGCACACACCCGCACCCACTGGAACCCCTGCCCCAGCATCCTGTTCCCTACCCAGGACCCTGCCCGCTGCCCCAGCATCCTATCCCTTGCCACAGCACCCTGTCCCCTGCCCCCACCAGCACAGTTGGGACCACATTAGTGAGGCTTGAAGGGTTTGTGTTTTTGTATCTCACTTGTGTGGCCCTGACTGACTTTTCTGTGGGTCAGTGACCCTTGACTCAAAACAGGTTCCCCACCCCTCTCATAAATAAAGACAATGCTGAAACCTTTTGTGTTTGACATATTTTATTTAAAAATGAAGCTTGGCCACCAAGCCCCTAATTGGGGCCAAGCCTTCATCTGGCCACAGCATCATAACACTCCTGTAGCCTCCATCCTGATCCCATATCTGAACCTATCATACAGTGGAGCCCCCTGTCCTGAGCCTCTCACATCCCCAAACTCCTGCATCCCCATATCTTCAATCTGCCACAACACTCTTGCACAATTCACACACCGCAAATTTGTGCCCTGAACCCATCATACTCTCCAATCTCCCTGCTCTCCATATTCCCCTCACATACCTCAATCCAAACTCCTGCACCCTCACATCACAAAGCTGTGGCTTGCTCAGCACCCCAACCCTACATCTGAGCCCAACACTCCCCAGCCTGGAACCCCCTCCCTGAGCCAGCATTCCCTTCACCACATTCTCCTGCATTTGAATTCCCTCCCAGAGCTTGAACCTCTCACCCCTTCCCATACCCAAATCCCTCATTCCTACCCCAGAGCCCACACCACCTGTCTCAACCCAGTGAGGGTATGGCTAGAGTACAGGAATTTTTCTGGCAAACACGTTCCCCAAGGAATAAGGGGGCTTCCAAAAGAAGGGTTTTTTTCCGACATTTGACCCAATCTAGATGGGCCAAATGTCAGAAAAATCTCTTTCAACAGAAGGATCAAAAAAAGCGGCAGTGTAGCCATACCCTGAGAGTGTATAAGGGCCGGGAATAGCAAGTGATGGACAGAAGGGGAACAGAGAGGGCAGGGCTTCAAGGAAGGGGTGGGGTCTTGGGGAAGAGAGGAGGTCGATCTTGGCTTGTCCTGACATTTAAAAAGTGATCTTGGGTGTAAAAAGGTTGGAGACCACTGCCCTAGTAGGATCAGTAGGATTGAGTGGGGCGTCAAAATGCCATCCATGCTCTCCCTCAGTTCCTTCTTGCTGGAATTACTCCAACAGAGGGGAGGCAGGAGGGTTTTGGAATGCACATGAGCCACTCATCTCAAAGAACACCAGTTACGAAAAGTATATAATTGTCTTGTCTTCTTCAAGCAATTGCTCATGTGCATTCCAAGTTAGGTGACTCCCAAGCTGCTATATGGAGGGGGGATCAGAGGTTGATGGTCCTCTGCCTGCAAAACTGCCCTCCCAAACGCAACATCATCTCTGCATGTTGCTGGATTGCATAATGTGACCTGAACATATAAACAGTTGACCAGTAGCTGTTTAAAAGAGGCAGATAAGAACCATTAATTAGCAAACAATGGTTGTTTGCTAATTTATCTGCCTCTTCTGACTATCTAGCCTTTAGGTACTTAGAAACTATTTGTTTTTCCTATTACATTCCAGCTCCGCTTTCCCCTCAATATTTTTTACCTACTGCCTCTTCTTGTTCCCTCCCTTCCATTTTTTCCTTTTTCCATTCCTCCCCCCTCTCTAGTCGCCCCTATTTATTTTGATCCTGGATATCCAATACTCTGGTCATCTGAAGAAGTGGGCTGTGTCCACGAAAGCTCACGATACCATCTACACGTTTCGTTAGTCTTTAAAGTGCTACCACACTATTTGTTAATTTTTTAAGTTTATCCTGTACAGACTAACTCAGCTACCCCCTGAAGCTTCAGAACTAATTAAGTACTTGAAAACTATCTATACCAGTGTTTCTCAACCAGTGGTACGGGTACCCTTAGGGGGTACTTGAGAGAAGTCTGGGGGGTACATCAACACAACTGAAATTTGGAGAAAACTGAATTTTTGTTTTAAGTTTTACAGCGCTTGATCATTTTTGTACTTTTTACACCCAAAAATTCCATAGCCCGCCTGGCTACAATTAAAAAATGGCTACATTGTTTAAAAAAAATGTGTTGCAATGGTAGAAAAAAATTGTGTGTCTGAAAACTGTAGGTACTGGGGTACTTTTTTTTTAAAAGGGGTACGTTATAAAAAAAAAAGGTTGAGAAACACCGATCTACACTATAAAGCCAGGGAACACTTACTTGCTTGAAGGAAGAGAGATAGCTCCAATGAAGGTCACTAGTGGTAAGAAGGAATTGAGGAAGGGTACAGTTGGCAGTGGGTTATATACCTTGCCTTATTGGCACCACTCTAGGGGCCTATACTGCTGACCAGGGATCCTCTAGGGAAATACCTTCCAATGACTGTGAATGCAGCACACACTCACCTAACCTGGAATGAACATGATTAATCACTCAAAGAAGCAGCACTATATACATGCAGAATAGCAGTATTATTAATCTAAATTTTTTCCCCAAATAGTCTGGAAATATAGTATTCTGTACCCATGCCAACTAACTTGTTAACTTGTTTTTCTTCTCTCATCCTTTGACAGTTCTTTCAGCTATTCCCCCGGTTTTAAATATATTAAGATTTTATATGATATTAACTACCTGTTTATTACAACATAGCTTGACTTGGAAATGAGCTGGTGAAAGACTGTGTCAGCATTTACTGACCTAGCCAGCTGCATTCTGCAGTCTCTAGCACATATTTGTTCCGATTTAGTTTCAAATCAGATAATGGATAAAAAATGTGCTTTAAATTAATCCAGAGCCATTGTCATCTCATATAGAATTGCATCTTACACCAATATGTCCACATGTAAACCACATAAAGGAACTTAAAATTTACTTTTTTCACAGTAGTCCCTGGTTTAACTTCACAATGACTGCAGTCAGATTGTTTCTTCAGAAAGGGATATCTATCTATCTATTTACCTAATCAACTTTTAGATTACACTACAATGCTTATCAGTTCTCCCTGAACTCTGGAAAAGGATGAGTAGACAACCACTCTGTGTACATCAAGGATTTCATTCTCCAGGAAAACCAATATGACACCATTCACAAGCAAAAATTGACTCAAAGGAAAACAAGTTTAATTTCAACTATATCCATTAGGGATGTGAAAGTGTAACTGTGTACATGGTTAATCTGGGCTCATCAGTTAACCTTCATGCTTACACACAGGCTCCTGAAATGTAAAGGGTGCTGGCTTAGAAGCTGGCTCCCCATGCATACCAGCTTGCAGGGAGCTGCCTGCCTCTGATACAAATATTTTAAGCTGGCTTCCTGTGCGTACCAGCTCCTGCCTGCCCCCTACACTGCTGCCTCTGATACAGGGGAAGAGGGGAAGGCAGGAGCTGGTATGCATGGAAAGCCAGCTTAAAAGTTGTTTCCCTGTGTGTGTCAGCTCCCAGAGAGCCATCTGCCTCCCACACTGCTGCTCCACAGGCAGCAGTGTAGGGGGCCTGGTGGAAGTTGGTGCACAAAGGCAACAGTGTGCCTCTGAGGCAGCCATGTGGGGAGGCAGGAGACAGCCATCTATCCCCCACATGATTACTAAATTAAACACTTTTTAA